CTGGTGGCTCAATGGTAAAGAATCTGCCTGCAATGCAGGAGACCTGGGTTCGATCCCTGGGTCGGGAAGATTCCCTGGAAAAGGAAATGGCAGCCTGCTCCAGTATTCTTGCCTGGAAATCCCATAGATAGAGGAGCCTGCGGGCTTCAGTCCACGGGGACGCAGAGTCGGACATGACTGAGTAACTAAGCAGCAGCATCCATTCTATGTCTTTTGATGGAAGAATTTATTACATTTGCATTTAAAACAATTATTGATAGATATGTACTTACCACCATTTTATAACTGTTTAAAATGTTATTTAAATATTGCCAATTACACATGGTATTTTATGGGCAAATTTATGTGTTTTTTCTTAAAATATAACTTAAGCATGAGAATATATTTGTATACTTCCCTCTTGATGACATGATAATCTTGGCGCCTCCAACTATTTGATCCTCTCCAGTACACTTCTAAGGTAGAGACAGAATTCTCACTGCCAGCAGTTTTCCTGTGGTAAAACTGTGCAGGCCTTAGAGAGTCCTCAAAGTATCAGAGCAATATTTTTATAGTGAGAGAATAATGAAAAAATAATGAACAGAAATATAAATTACCATTCCAGAAATAAGGCTCTAGTGCATGTGTGAAAAGTAGATGAATAAATAGGAAGTATATCTTCTGGGTTTGATATTTTACATGTATTTTTCATGTCTTTATTGTTTATATTTTTAGTTTATATTTTTAATCATATAGGATATTTGTTGAAAGCAACTTTTTAGTTATAGCATCATAGCTTCTATCAGCTTCTAGATAAATATAACTATTTTTGCATATTTTGCATATGTTTTAGAATGAATGGATGTTCAAAATTAAGAAGTTACTTTTTTCTTGGGTTACTTAAATACCTAAGTAGAGACTAATTTTAATTATTAAATGTTAAACAAAGTAAAAATTAAAACATAACTAAGATAAATCACATTTAGAGATTATATTTTTTAAATTTTAATATATATTTTAATTTAATTTATATATATGTATATATATATATTTACCAGATCTTCTTTAAACATTTCTCTGTTGATGGACATTTAAATTGCTTCCATGTCCTGGCTATTGTAAATAGTGCTGTAATAAACATTGGGGTGCATGTATTTTTGTTTTTTAATTATGGTTTTCTCTGGGCATGTACCTAAAAGTGGGATTGCTGGTTCATATGGTAGTTCTATTTTTAGTTTTTAAGGACTCCACACTGTTCTCCCTAGTGCCTGTACCAATTTACATTCTCACAAAGTGTGGGAGGGTTCCCTTTTCTCCACACCCTCTTCAGCATTTATTCTTTGTAGATTTTTTTCATGATGGCCAGTCTGATCAGTGTGAGGTAATAACTCATTGTAATTTTGATTTGCATTTCTCTAATAATTAGTGATGTTGAACACTTTTCACGTGCTTTTTGACCATCTATATATCTTTGCTGAAGAAATGTCTACTTAGATCTTCCAGTTTTTTATTCAGTTATTTGTTTTTTGATATTGAGTAACATGTATATTTTGGAGATTAATCTCTTGTCAGTTGCTTCATTTGCAATTTTTCTCATTCTGAGAGTTGTCTTTCTGTTTTATTTATGATTTCCTTTGCTGTGAAATAGAGATTACACATAATTGAATATATGGATTTATTTTGAACTTTAAATTATTTGAGTTAAACAATCTACAAACTGGCTTCGTTGCTAAAGGTTATTTTGCCCTCACATGTGACTTTTGTCTTTAATTTTTCCAGAAAATGGTTTAAAAGGAAGTTTTCAAGGAAAATAAAATTTATTTTTTAACTTCATATATTGTAGAGGTAATAATTTGAAAGATGTAAAGATTACCTGGATAACAGATAATCCATCATCTTTAATATTATTTGTTGTATTGGATATTTTCTAATATCTCTTTAACATTCTATACTTATTTGATTCTTTTTTGATTTTTAGCCTCCAATCCTAATGAGATCAGGGTGAGTACAATTGTATCTTACTATATATCCCTCTGGAGGAGGGGATGGCATCCCACTCCAGTATTTTTGCCTGAAGAATTCCCCTGGAGAGAAGAGCCGGGCGGGCTGCAGTCCATGGGGTTGCAAAGAGTTGGACATGACTTTGCAACCAAGCACGTATGTCCCTCTAGTGGCTAGAATTTAAAATGAGTGCAATAGTAAGAAAGAAAAAGAATCACAATTGTTCCAAAGAAAGAATATGCCTTTAGGGAAGGAAAAGGACCAAGAAGAACAGAAAGTAAGTGAACTAGCGAATGGGAGGAAAATTAGATAAGAGGTCATGTAGGTAGAGTAGGTAAAATGAGAGGATCTAAGTATTCAGTCTTTCCCAAGCAGACATTGCACCAGGAATTTATCATGTATTTTCTCACTTAATGTTCACAAAAACTCCACAAAGAGGATACAGGCAAAAAAGTTGAATCTTAGAGGGTAAAATAACATAATCAAATCATACTGTTAGAATAAACATTGATGATTAAGTGGATGGAAGTTTTCCTTTATTCCGTATAAGGTGGCAATTTCCTGTTGATTCAACAACTGGATAAGCAGGAGTATGATAAATGAATGTGACAGGGCCACCACCCTAACACACACCTATCTACCTACTTATAGTTCTTGTAGAACTGGAAGTAAGGGGTGGAGTTCATTGATGACATCTAGGTTCTTTGCTCCAAACATGAAGCTTAAATAGGTGGAGGGAAAAAAAGAAACAAAAAAACCCTACAACCCAGCAACACCATGACGATTTGGGCTAAAGAAATAGTTTGTGTATACCAGTTCTATAAAATGCAGTATTCACATGCGGGAATTCTTCATGATCTTGGATTAAAAGAGATAATAGGTTCATCTATCACATATGCCTGCTGTTTCTTATTTTTCTTTAGCTATTTTCATGACCTGTAATACTGTATCTATAGCCAAAGGCTAGGGATGGGCTGTTTAGTAAAACAGTACACTGGTTCCAGGCAATATCTAGACAATGAAGAGTTTCAAAGACATGTCTTAGGCAATGAAATAAGACATGTGTGATGGAGTGCTTTTTAAATTCTGAAAACTGCTTGTCAAAATCTAGAGTTTATTGCTTTCTAAACTAATTTTTTTTTTTTAGTTTTTAAATGAGCACTTAATACACATTAAAAAAAAAATTTCCTGAAAGGTAGATCTTGCTAGGACATCTTTGCTAGTCTAACTGAATATCAAACTTAGGATTTTGAATAGGTTGATAGTTTTTCTTTAAAATACCATTAGGTATGATAAAAAATTTATGAAGCTCTTTCCTTAGACTATGTCCTCAATGGATAATTTATTGATCTTTCAAGGCCCATCAATTGTTCTGCTTCTTGGTACTATTTGTATACTTCTTTTATCCTCTTATAAGATTTTAATTTCTTTTGAAGAAATTGTTCTATTTATTATGATACTTTTATTTTTAAAAGTAAAAGTGGTAGTGACAAGTCAAAAAAGTCAAAGTGTATAAGGAATACACTCTTAATCGCTATCTTCTCCCTTCAGTCCTGCCCCAAAATACAACCCACGTGATCAAATTGAAGGATGATCTCCAAACCTTTCTTTCTTTTCATACAAATATATACAGAATTTATTCCCTTTTTATTGGTTACTCCACATAGAATTCTGTAACTCAAAAAAAAAAACTTACTTATCATAGATATCTGCCCATAAATCACTTATGTCTAACTTCTTCTTAGTAGTAGGAGCATATTATTCCATACTTTGTTGCTGTTATTGTTGTCACTAAATCATGTCCAACTTTGCAGTCCTATGGGCTGCAACATGCCAGGCTTCTGGGTCCTTCACTGTCTCCCAGAATTCACTCAAATTCATGTCCTCTGAGATGATGATGCTATCTAACCATCTCATCCTCTGCCATCCCCTTCTCCTTTTGCCTTCAATATTTCCCAGATTCAGGGTCTTTTCCAATGAGTCAGATGTTTTCATCAGGTGGCCAAAGTATTGGAGCTTCAGCTTCAGCATTAGTCCTTCCAATGAATATTCCAGGGCTGATTTCCTTTAGGATTGACTGGTTTGATCTCCTTACAGTCCAGTGGATGCTCAAGAGTCTTCTCCAGCACCACAATTCAAAAGCATCAATTCTTTGGTGCTCAGCCTTCTTTATGGTCCAACTCTCATACCCATACATAGCTAAAAAAAACTATACCTTTGACTATGTGCACCTTAGTTGGCAAAGTGATGTCTCTGCTCTAATACTCTATCTAAGTTTGTCATAGCTTTCCTTCCAAGGAGCAAATGTCTTTTAATTTCATGGTTGCAGTCACAGTCCACAGTGATTTTGGAGACCAAGAAAAGAAAATCTGTCACTGCTTCCACTTTTCCCCCTCTATTTGCCATGAAGTGATGGGACCGGATACCATGATCTTCTTTTTCATAATAGTGAGTTTTACGCTAGCTTTTTTACTCTCATTTTTCACCCTCATCAAGAGGCTCTTAAGTTCCTCTTTACTTTCTGCCATTATAGTGGTATCATCTGCATATCTGAGGTTTTTGATATTTCTCCCAGCAATCTTGATTCCAACTTATGATTCATCCAGTCTGGCATTTCACATGATGTACTCTACATAGAAATTAAATAAGCAGCCTTGTCGTACCCCTTTCCCATTTTGAATGAATCAATTATATGACACAAATAAATAGATATCCCATGTTCTTGAGTTGTAAGAATTAATACTGTTAAAGCGGCCATACTACCCAAAACAGACTACAGATCAATCCAACATCTATCAAAATACTCATGACATTCTTCATAGAACTAGAACAAACAATCCCAAAGTTTGTAATAGAATCACCGAATATACAAAGCATCTTGAGAAAGAACAATAAGAAAGAGTTATCACATTCCCTGACTTCAAATTATACTACAAAGTCACAGTCATCAAAATAATAGGGTGGTAAGTGCGTCTCGAGGCTGCAGCTGCAGAGGAAGCACCTGAAGAGGAGCTGCAAAGATGCTGTCCGTGCGCATCGCCATGGCCATACCCACGCCCTCCCTCTGCGAGCTGGGCTGGTCTCCAAAAATGCTTTGGGATCATCCTTCATTGCTGCAAGAAACCTCCATGCCTCTAACTCTCGTCTTCAGAAGACCGGCATTGCTGAGGTGTCCTCTGTTCTTGAAGAGCGTATTCTTGGAGCTGATACCTCTGTTAACCTTGAAGAGACTGGGCATGTTTTAAATATTGGTGATTATATTGCCCAGGTACTTGGGGTAAAAAATGCTCAAGCAGAAGAAATGGTAGAATTTTCTTTCTACCCTTTAGGGCATGTCTCTGAACTTGGAGCCTGACAGTGTTGGTGTTGTCATGTTTGGAAATGATAAACTAATTAAGGAAGGAGATATTGTGAAGAGAACTGGGGCTATTGTAGATGTTCCAGTTAGTGAGAAGCTGCTGGGTCGTGTAGTTGATGTCCTTGGTAATGCCACTGATGCAAAGTGTCCAATTGGTTCCAAGGCCCGAAGACGAGTTGGCTTGAAATCCCCTGGGATCATTCCTCGAATCTCTGTGTGGGAACCAATGCAAACTGGCATTAAGGCTGTGGATAGCTTGGTGATGATTGGTTGTGGTCAGTGTGATCTGGTTATTGGTGACCGACAGCTTGGCAAAACATCAATTGCCAGAAACGTCATTAACCAGAAACGATTCAATGATGGAACTGATGAAAAGAAGAAGCTGTACTGTATCCATATTGCTATTTGTCCAAAGAGATCCACTGCTGCCCAGCTGGTGAAGAGATTTACAGATTTAAATGGAATGAAGTACACCATTGTGGTTTCAGCTACTGCTTCAGATGCTGCCCCACTTTAACACCTGGCTCCTTACTCTGGATGTTCAATGGGAGAATATTTTAGGGATAATGGCAAACGTGCTTTGATCATTTATGATGACTTATCTAGGCAGTTCCTTATCGTCAGATACCTATGCTGCTCTGCCGACCCCCCAGTTGTGAGGCCTATCCTCATGATGTGGTCTACCTTCACTCCCGTGTACTGGAGAGAGCAGACAAAATGAATGATGCTTTTGATGGTGTCTCGTTAACTGCTTTACCAGTCATAGAAACACAAGCTGGTGATGTGTCTGCTTACATCCCAACAAATGTCATTTCCATCACTGACAGACAGATCTTCTTGGAAACAGAATTGTTCTACAAAGGTATCTGCCCTGCCATTACTGTTGGTTTGTCTGTGTCCTGTGTCGGATCTGCTGCCCAAACCAGGGCCATGAAACAGGTGGCAGGTGCCATGAAACGATTTGGCTCAGAATCGTGAGGATGCTGCTTTTGCCCAGTTCAATTCTGACCTTGATGCTGCCACTCAACAACTCTTGAGTCGTGGTGTGCGTTTGGCTGAGCTGCTGAAGCAAGGAGAGTATTCTCCCATGGCTACTGAAGAGCACGTGGCCGTTATCTATGCTGGTGTCAGGGGCTATCTTGACAAGCTGGAGCCCAGCAAGATCACAAAATTTGAGAATGCTTTTTTGCCTCATGTTATCAGCCAACATCAAGCCCTGTTGGGCAAAATCAGGACCGATGGAAAGATCTCAGAAGAGACAGATGCAAAGCTGAAAGGGATTGTAACAAACTTCTTGGCTGGATTTGAAGCTTAAACTCCTGTGGATTCACATCAAATGCCAGTTTGGTTTTGTCACTGTTTCTTCTAGTTCCACTTATAAAAGGATTACTCCAATACTGCAGATGTACAGTAATCACATTAAAATAAAGTTTTCATGGTAAAAAAAAAAAAGAAAATCAACAATTTGATATTGACACAAACAGACAGATGACAAATGGAACGGAATAGAAAATCCAGAAATGAACCTATGCCCATATGATCAATTAATCTACATTGATGGAAACAATCATATACCATGAGGTAAAAACAGCCTGTTTAATACATGTTGTGAGATAACTGGACAGCTACATGCAAAGAATAAAAATGGACCACTTTATCATATCATATACAAACATAAACTAAAAATGAATTAAATATTTAAATGAGACCATAAATCTCCTAGAAGAAAATACAAGCAGTAACCTCTTTGACATCAATCTTAGCAACATTTTAAAAATTTGTCTCCTCATGCAAGGACAACAAAAAGCAAAAATAAACTAATAGGACTACATCAGGCTAAAGGCTTTTCACAGCCGAGGAAGTCACTAGCAAAATGAAAAGGTGACCCACAGAATGGAAGAAGTTATTTGTAAATTATATCTCTGATAAGAGATTGATATCCAAAAATACAAAGAAATACATAAATGTAATATAAAGAAAACAATTAAAAATGGGCAGAGGATCTGAATAGCCACCAAAGAAGACATATAAGTGGTCATCAAGCACATGAAAAAGTGCTCAACATCACTAGTCATCAGGGAAACACACATCAAAACTGCAATGAGATACCATCCCATAACCGTCAGAATGACTTTTATCAAAAAGGCATAAAACAAATGCTGAAGAGGTTTCAGAGAAGAGGAAATACTAGTATGTGCTAGTGCAATTATAAATTGATGCAAACCTTATGGAAACAGTATGAAGATTCCTCAAAAAACTTAAGATAGATTATATATGATCCAGCAATTCCACTTTGGGGAATTCACCTGAAGAAAACAAAAACTCCACTAATTTGAATATATATGCATTCAATATCATATATATTTAATATATATATATATCCTTATAGTCACTGCCAAATTATTTATGATAATCAAAATACTGAAGTAACTTAAGTATCCATCAATGGATAAATTGATAAGGAAGGTGTGATAGCTATATATATATACATATACCACAATGGTATATGTATATATGGACAATTATGTAATATGTCCATATTATGTAATATGGACAATAGACAATTATTCCAGTATAAAACAGAATAAAATCTTGCCTTTGAGGCAAGAGAGATAGATCTGGGTACTAAGTAGTATACTAGAAAAACAGTGTATGGTTTCACTTATATGTGGTGTTTAAAAAAACAAACAAATGAATAAACAGAACAAAATGGAAAAAAAGACTGATATATACAGAGGATAAACTGGTGGTTGTCAGAGGAGAGATGGATGGGTAAAATAGGTAAAGAGGATTAAGGGATACAAATTCCCATCTATAAAATAAAAGTCATGAAGATGTAATGTACATATAGGAATATAGTCTACTGTAACAACTTTGTATGATGATAGACTGTAACTGAACTTTATTGTGGCTATCATTTTATAATGTGTAAATAAATTGATCCTAAAGGAAATCTTAAAGGAAATCAGTCCTAAATATTCATTGGAAGGACTGATGCTGAAGCTGAAGCTCCAATACTTTGGCCGACCTGATGCAAAGAACTGACTCATTGAAAAAGACCTTGATGCTGGGAGAGATTAGAGGCAGGAGGAGAAGGGGACGACAGAGGATAAGATGGTTGGATGGCATCACCAACTCAATGGACATGAGTTTGAACAAGCTCTATGTGTTGGTGATGGTCAGGGAAGTCTGGCGTAAAGCAGTCCATGGGGTCACAAAGAGTTGGACATGACTGAGTGATTGAACTGAACTGAAATAAATTGAATCTTTATGTTGCATACCCAAAAATAATATAATGTTTTATGTTAATTATAACTTAAAAAGCAGATTTTTAATAAGGTCCTACAGAATAGCTTCTCAAAAATGGGATTGGTGAATTTTCTCAAAAATGGGATGAGAGAGATATTTTCAAATATCTCTCAAAAGGATAATAGCATTCACTTCAGGAAAACATAAGAATATCTGTTTGTCTGTTTAGGCCCCTCTGCAAAACATCTTTTAATGTTTACCAAACTGATAAAACAAAAAAACCAGTACCCTCTCTCTTTTTCATATTTGAGTCCATGTCTTACAGGACACAGTACCATGCCTTGACTACATCTAAAATACCTGCCTTCTTATTTCTTTAACAATACAATATTCATTTCCCCTTTGGAAATTATCACAGTCTGTAGTTATTTGCTTTATTTATATACACATTCACTGCCTGAATCTTTTGATAGAATGTAAATTCCATGAGGAAAGGGACCATGCTTAAGCAGTTACCATTGTTTCTCCAGATAAAAAAATATCTAATCAACAACTGCTTGTTTTTCCATAAATTCAGCCTCTAGATGGTCAGTGTTTTGATATTATGGAATATTGCACATTTAAATTCAGATATTCTCTAATATTTAGTAAGTAAATGCTAGTTAAAACCATACATGAAGGGAGGAAGTGGTCAATATGATAGAGTAGGAAGACACTAAATTCAGTTCCTCCCACAGACACACCAAAATTCCAAATACTTACTCCTTCCCACAAAACACCCAAAACAAAAACAAAAAACAAAGTTACATTGCTTAATGGAGAACTAGCTATGACAGTAACTTGAGAGCAACTAGCTATAAGAGTAACCTTTTATTCCAGTAAAAGATTTTCTACAAATAAAGATATGGTGAAGGAAACAGATTAAGTAGGTGGGATAGAGGCACAGTATAATTAAGACCCATACCCCCGGGTAGGCAATGCACAAACAGAAGAATAATAAAAACTGCAAAAGCTCTCCACAAGAAGCAAGGGGTTCAAGCCAGATCTAGGAAGCAGAGAGTTCCAAACAAGATGAACCCAAAGAAGTGCACACCAAGACACATTATAACAAAAATGGCAAAAATTTTAAAAAAAGAAAGTCTTAAAGGGAGCAAGGAAAAAGAATCTTAAAAGAAGCACAAAGGAACTCTCATAAGAACATCAGCTGGCTTTTCAGGTGAAACTCCAGAAGGATATAGTGTAATATACTGAAAGCAATGAAACAGAAAAACTCTATGATCAGGAATTCTCTACCAGGCATATTTAACATTCACATTGGAAGAGGAAAAAAAGTTTCACAGACAGCCAAGATGTAAAAGAATTTATCACTTGTATACCAATTTTAAAAGAAATGTTAGAGGAACTTCTCTAAGCAGACAAAAAAAGATCACAATTACAAACATAAAAAGTATGAAGGGAAAAAATCACCTTGGTAAATAAAAATATATAGTTAAGTTAACAGATCAGTCACATAAACCAGTGGGAGGGTAATGTAATCATCAATGTTTATGAAAAGTAGTTAAGGAATACACAAAACAGAAAGATATAAAAATGTAGAGTGATTCAAATGTATTCAAAATGAAGAGATCATAAATTTAAAATAAATAACAAATATAAAAATAAAGAATAATCAACAAATTGCAAGCATAGAAAGAAAAAGTAAAGAAGATGAATGGAACAAAAGAGAACTACAAAACCAAAAACATGGCCATAGTACATACCCATCACTAATTAATTTAGATGTAAATGTATTAAATGCTCCAATCAGAAGATGTAGGGTAGCTGAATGGCTTTTTTAAAAAAGAGAATAATATATATACACATACAAATAGCTGATCTAAAGACACACGCACACTGAAAGTGAAGAGATACAAAAATATGTTCCATGAAAATGGAAATGAAAAAGCTAAGACAGCAATACTTAGATAAAACAAACTTTATAACCCTGTATCAAGAGACAAAGAAAGGCATTACATAATAATAAAGAGATCAAGTATAGCAGGAAGATGTAACAATTATAGATGTTCCCATCATAGACACACCTAAATACTTAAAACAAATATCAACAAATATAAAGGGAGAAATTTACAGTAATACAATAAAGCACAGGTCACTCAGACAGAAAATCAGTTAAGGAAACACTGACTTAAATAGCACATTAACCCATACAAAATTAATAGATTATATACAAAATATTTCACCAAAACCAGAAGAATATACTTTCAAGTGCACATGGGCTATTCTTCAGCATAGATCTCACCCTAGATCACAAAAGAAGTATCAATACATTTAAGAAGGTTGAAATCATATTAAAAATCGTTTCCAACCACAAAGTATGAAATTAGAAATTACCTACATTAAAAAAAAATCTATAAAAATCACAAACACTTGAAGGCTACTCAACATCCTTCTATACAACCAAAATGGTCACTGAAGAAACTAAAGAGGAAATTTTAAAATACCCAAAGCTATGAAAATGGAAACACAATGTTCCAAAATCTATGGAATGCAGCAAAAGTATTTCTAAGACAGAAGATCATAGCAATAAGCTTCATCAAGAAACAACACAATCTTAAAGAAACAATCTAAATCTTATAGGTAAATGAAGTGTAAGAAGACAAACAAACCTGAAGTTAGTAGAAGGAAACAATGAATATCAAAGCAAGTATAAATAAAATAAAGACTAAAATTAAAGTAGAAAATATCAGTGAAACTAAGATGTCATTCTTTGGAAAGATAACAAAATTGGTCAACTTTTAACCACTCTCATGAAGAAAAAAGGAAGGTACAAATTAAGAAAATCAGAAATGAAACTGACACCACTGAAATACAAAGGATCATAAGAGATTACTATGAAGAGTTATATACCAATAAAATGGAAAATTTGGAAGAAATGGATATATTTCTAGAAATGCAATCTCCCAAGACTGAATGAGTGAGAAATAGAAAATATGAACAGCCCAATTACTGATAATGTATTTGAGTCAGTAAAAAAAAAAAAAAAAATCCCACCACACAAAAATCCAG